CATGCCACACCACGCAGCAAAAAAAAATAAAGAAACCATGGATTCTGCCTTTTTATTTCAAACGTTTAAAATCAACACAATTCAAGGAGGCAACCAAACTTTCATTTTAGGCAAAAACACTCTCCTGGCTAGAGTTTGTGCAGTCAAAGTTTCCACCACATACTTGTTCTAAGAAATACAGATATATTTATACATTTATTAACTATGAGAAATATTCACTCACACTGACTTTTTTTTTTTTTTTTTTAAAACTTAAGTGTCATAATACCACTGATGCACTGGAACTTAGAAATATCATTGATGTGTGGTAAGAGGTTGTTTTTGTATTTTTTTAAAAAAAAACGTCTGCAGGTTCAATGTGTGTGAGAAGCGATATTTGGGTTGTTTACAGCCCCTTGCTGTGTTATAATTCAAACGCCATTTTAAATGTTCATTGAAACTTTAATGGCAGATCTGACTTTGGGATGAGGGGGTTAATTGCTTATTTTACCTCTAAAATCACCACCATTTTGTTGAATCCTGCAGTTTATAATCCTCGCATGAAAGGGTTAGAAAAACTTTATTTTTTATTTTTTTGTAAATTTTGAAACTCACAGCACATACAAGACTTCAGTCGGTATCACAAGCATGATTATTCCTGTGGAAGCTACTTAGAGAAGAAACAAAGGTCACTGTAAATCCTTTCAACATTACACACAACATGTTACAGGTCAGATTATATCACAGCCTAGAAAGAGACGTAATAAAAAAAAAGTATTGTCTAAATCTCAGTTGTGTGTTATGTAATTCTGTGTGGAGTTTTTCTTTAGCTCTTAAGAGATGGACTGAAAATGCGATTTTAACTCCTCACAGCAGATTAATTTAAAGATGTCATACATACCATGAGGATTTTTGTATGACATATCTTTTAGGGGATTAAACTCAATTTGCATAAAAGAAGATGGATCTTTCCTTTTTTTGCATGATACACTTCTTATGCACAATGTCCACACATTAAGATTACAACACATCATCAGTAACTCAGGAGGATTATTCTGACACTTGTCTATTTGATTTTGACAATTTAAAATAACGAGTCAGCAGAGATTATCCATACAGTCACATCTCTGCAAAGCCTTTCATCTGACAGATGTATTAAAAAAAAAAAATCAAGGCATAGCTGCCGTATAGGATTTTAATATAAACGCATGAAAATGAAGGGAAAAAAAGGTATTTATGTAATGGCTGCTGCAGTGCCAAGCCTCTGTCATTAGTAAAATTGGGCAGTTATTTCCAGCGGCGTACTAATCCTCCAGTTGGTGTATTCATGCTGCCTTTTCTACTTCAGATAATCCACTGAATACTGAGAGCAGCAGTCAATATAATCCACTGTTTTAAAAGTCCTACAACGTCCCACAGAGAAATCATGACGGTAAAAGACACACAGCTACAGGAAGTTTTTATTATTATTATTATTATTATTATCTTTATTAACCGCATTGTCAGCAAAACTCAGCATTCTTTTTGCTATTTTTATGTCTTGAAAACAATTGCTCCACAAAAATCCCCTCCAAACCCGAAAAACAAAACAAAACAAAACAAAACAAAACAACAACAAAAAAACAGCTGCCATGTGCATTTCAGTATTAGCACCAAAAAAAGATAAAACTTTATTTTATAGTTTCCTTGTTTACATATCAGCATCTTATTAAAATAATGGCCTAGGTCATTTTTTGCCTACAGGGATTTTTTTCCCCCTGCCTAAATCATGTTTTGGTGAAAAGGGGGTGAAAATAAATCACTTTTTGCACAAAAAAAAGACTTCTATGTCATTATTTTAGGAAGGCGACTATTTTGTTGCAGAAATTGAAATACTATTGTTGTAAAGTTCTCGCATTACCGCCTCAGGGCCAGCAGTCACACACTGTGTGCTGCCCACTGAAAGGCATTTCCGCTATGAGCAAGTCTTTGCTGCCCTCTTCTGGGAAGATTTAGACAATTTTCGATCCTGAACAAAATGTGAAACCGAGGGAAATTACAACAAGTTGTAACGGTTCCACGAACTCATTTTAGAAGCAGAAGAGGTAGGTCCTTCAGAGCTGTGGCTTCTGAATAGTGAAACGAGTTACCTTCTTCTCTGAACTTTCTTGACTCTGTTCATTCGTTTAAGACAAAGTTGTTGTTGTTCAGATTGACTTATCTAGCTTTATGCTGGTTAAAAGTATGTATGCTATTTTTATTCTCCTTGACGTTTTGTTTTTCCGGCGTGTTTTATAGTTGTGCTACTGTGAAGCAACATGTGGTTTTATCCTGTGGAAGGTATATAAATAAAGTTTAACTCACCTTACAAAGGTAAAGGCAATAAATAGTGAAAGGAAATATCCATTTTTCTGTGTGTACCTGTTGATAATCACCACCAGGTGGCAGTATTATCTACATAAATACCGAGCTGAACTTCATGCTAGAATTTCCGATCCTACCTTTGAGGTACACTTCATTCCCGCCAATGTATCAGGTGTTATTTTGGAGACGCCTGGTTGTGAGAAATGAATTACACCTAGAGTGTATCATTAATTCACCAGAACCCAAATGTTGTCTTCACAGACTAAATCATGTGGGTTAAAGGAATAAGATGCTAACCAAGCATTGCCGTGTGCCCACCTGACCTTGCAAAAACTTAACTTGTTCTTCAGAATTATTAATCTTTTATTTGAATATATAGACTGTGGTTGACTTGATTTTGTTGTCTGGTGGAGCTGTCCAGAGCCTCGGGGTGCTGCAAACGAAGCAAAGGTGGCTTCTTATGTTATTTAGTCTTCTTTGAGATCAGCAGTTTAAACTATGTTCATTTGTATATTTTGGTTTGGAATATTGATTTCAATATTGTGCTATACACATGCAAATAACGCTGCTACCAGTATTTGTCACCAGGGTTGGTGTTTTCTGGGTTATGCTCAGTACAGTTTCTCTCCACACATAGTGTTTTGCATTGCATGCTAATAAAAGTATCGGTTTTGGTCTTCTCTGACCACAACACCTAAGTGACCTGTGCCAAGCTGTTTTGTTTTTTGTTTATTTCTACAAAGCCTTTGTTCTTTCCACGTGTCGTGGAACAGATTATCTGCCCTTAACGGTGGATTTCTGCAGCTCCTCCAGAGCTGACATGGGGTGCTTGGCTATTTGTTTGATTAATGTCGGATCGATGTCTTATCAATTTCTGAACAATATCACCAAAACATTATTAGTTAAAAGGGAAGATTTAGAACTAGATTATCCATGTGTCTTTACATGATGACAAGTATGTTGTTGTTTTTTTGTTTTGTTTTGTTTTGGGGTTTTTTTTTTGGGGGGGGGGTATCTAAAAGTGTGTGTATTCCTTATGCAAAAAAAAACAAAAAAACTGGGGTATTCTGCATACCAAATGTGTAAAGTGTTCTAAAAAATAGGAGTTTGAGTTTAAACTGCACTTAAGAAGTTGTAACACAGTGTAATATTTGATTTGAAATCTTATTATCTTGATCACTATTTTATTGACATTTCACAAACATATGGGATTTGTTTTTCTGTTCTTGCTAAGATAAATAATATGATAAGTAGTATGGTGGATTTCTGCCACTTGAATGAAAGAAACACGAGCACGTGGTATTTGATAATTCTGTTTGGTAACACTTTATTTGAAGGGGGTTGAATAAGACTGTCATGACACAGTCATAAACATGACATAACACCTGTCATGAACATGAATAAGCCTTCATGAATATTTATGACTGTTGTCATAAAGCGTCATTTGGTAAATTATGACACTTTTAATAAAAAGTTGACATTATTCAAAATGTCTTTGTTATGACAACTTGACATTAACCAAGAAATCATTACTGATATAAATTTGTTATAAAAGTATTACTGATTGCACTTTAAAAATTAGGTAACTTTATGTTATTAAAGGTAAAGTTTAAACTAATGATTTCTTGGTTAATGTCAAGTTGTCATAACAAAGACATTTTGAATAATGTAAACCTTGTATTAAAAGTGTCATAATTTACCGAATGACGCTTTATGACAACAGTCATAAATATTCATGAAGACTTATTCATGTTCATGACATGTGTTATGTCATGTTTATGAAAGTGTCATGACAATCTTATTCACCCCCCTTCAAATAAAGTGTTACCTTATGTTTTCATAATAGTTAAACAATCATGAGACTGAATCTCCTATTTGTGGCTTTGACACTCAAAGTCATGACACTGGACATAATTATTATTATTTTGGAAGTGAAAATTACAATTTACCACCTAAGATGTAGGACTTAATGTCACAATTTTGAGAGTTAAAGTCATAATCTGTATGTTATATCTCACATCACTTCACTTAAAAGTCAAAATTAAGTTTTAGAGTATCGTCATTGGAAATTGAAATGTCTAGTTATTCTCTATTATTGGTTTTCAGTGGTGTATTTATGTGTTCCAAGTCATATTTGTGACATTCAAACTTATCAATTTTACTTTAGATTTCATGTCATTGACTCTGAAAATGCAAATAATATTCTATGATTCATAAATGTAACTATTAATCTCAGAATTATTTATTTGAAAATCAAACTTCTGAATTAATGACAATCAATCTTGCAATTGTGACTCTGAATGTTACACAAGCATGATATTCAGTCATAATTCTAACTTTAAATCTGGGATCTGTTACTTTGACAGTCAAAAACATCCGTTTGATGCTCAAAATTACAATTTTACACCTTAGAATTATGAACTTGAAAATGAAAATCGCAGCTGAAGTTAGAAATAATGACTATGAAACTCAAGATTAAATCTCAAATTAAGATCTTTAATCTCACAATTATCACTTATGACACTTGTGACCAGTTTATGTATTTTGGGTGCCGGAAACAGAAGCAAAAAAGTCTGGGGGGGGTGTGGAGGGGGGTTGCCCCTGTCTTTGCTCTTCTGGTCATCACTTGCTCTCATTGGCTGAAGTGATTGTAGAATTATCATAAAGGAGGCAAGTGGCGAAAGGACCCACTCGGTGGCAAGCCGGTGGTGCGTCACAATTCCTTAAGAAAAAAAACACACACAAAAAAAAACGGGTGGAGATAGAGGTGGGAGAAAAAAGAGGACTAAAATAGCGCAGAACCTGCGGGTCAATGTCCACCAATGGCCACCAAGTCATTTGTGGTCTCAGAGCGGAGAGAAGAAAAGTGCCACAGGTGATGGAAGACATGAGCTGCTCTGAGCGTCGCCGTGTATGCGGGTAGAAGGTAGCGACATTAATCTCTGTATCGAAAACTTTGCCATGTGAAGAAAGCGGCTCAAAAAAAAAAGGAAAAGAAAAGAAAAACTCTGCAAAGTTGCAGAAGTTGAATCTGTTTAACCACGTCACTTCTCGGGAGATCATGAAAGTGCATCGCATGAGAACAAGTGGAGGAAGCTGAAGAAAGCCATCTCTTCACCGATGAGGCAGCCAAGTTCCCCTGCGCCTCTCCCTTTACGCACAGGCGAGGCGAGGACGGAGACCACCACATCAAGACGCTGAAAGATCGGAAGCACAACTACTTTTCCTTTCTTTCTTTCTTTTTTTTCTTTTTTTTTTTACTGAGACTCTTAACTTTTTAATAAGAGAAAGCGGGGGGAAAGCACATCATGGATGGAGAAGGAGGATCGTTCGGACTGGCAAGATCAGCCGCTGTAAAACTCTCCGAGATGGGCGAGAGGACCAAGCAGCTGGGCTCTGCGATGAGGGACCCTCACCAGCAGAAGCGGATCATATTAGTGATTGTTTGCGTGGCTCTTCTGCTGGACAATATGCTCTACATGGTCATTGTGCCAATTATCCCAGACTATCTTGCTGACCTGGAGAGCGAGCAATCAGAGCACGTCCACTTAGTGCTGCACCCCAACACTTCCTCAGCCAACAGCACAAGTCAAGACAAAAGCAACAAGGACAATTTAGACATCCAGATAGGCGTCCTTTTCGCCTCTAAAGCCATCCTGCAGCTCCTGGTCAACCCACTCTCAGGAACGTTCATAGATCGAGTCGGATACGACATCCCTCTCCTCATCGGGCTAACCGTGATGTTCGTCTCCACCTGCATTTTCGCCTTCGCGGAGAACTACGCGACGCTGTTCGTGGCCAGAAGCCTGCAGGGTCTGGGCTCTGCTTTCGCGGACACCTCCGGCTTCGCGATGATCGCTGACAAGTACACGGAGGAAGCGGAGAGGAGCCGAGCGCTCGGCATCTCCCTGGCGTTCATCTCGTTCGGGAGCCTGGTGGCGCCTCCCTTCGGAGGCGTCCTGTACGAGTTCGCCGGAAAGAGGGTCCCCTTCATCGTGCTCGCCTCTGTCTGCCTGGCTGACGGCTTTCTGCTGCTTACTGTCATCAAGCCCTTCTCCAACAGGACTCGGGAGAACATGCCAGTGGGCACCCCGATATACAGACTCATGATAGACCCCTACATCGCTGTGGTGGCCGGGGCGCTCACCGTGGCCAACATCCCGCTGGCCTTCCTGGAGCCGACTATCGCCAACTGGATGGAGACCACCATGCACTCCACTCAGTGGGAGATGGGACTCACCTGGCTGCCGGCCTTCTTCCCTCACGTCCTGGGTGTGTTCATTACTGTTAAACTGGCCGCGAAGAACCCCCACCTGCAGTGGTTCTACGGGGCTTTAGGCATGGTAATCATAGGGGCCAGCTCATGCACGGTCCCCGCATGCAAAACTTTCGGGCAGCTCATCGCCCCGCTGTGCGGCATCTGTTTCGGCATTGCGCTGGTGGACACGGCGCTGCTGCCGACGCTCGCGTTCCTGGTCGACGTGCGCCACGTCTCCGTGTACGGCAGCGTTTATGCCATCGCTGATATCTCGTATTCGATCGCTTACGCCATGGGTCCGATAGTGGCCGGCCAGATCGTGCACAACCTTGGCTTCGTCCAGCTGAATCTGGGCATGGGTCTGGTCAACGTGCTTTACGCGCCGGCGCTGCTGCTGCTGCGCAACGTGTGCCAAATGAAACCGTCCTACTCGGAAAGGGATAACCTGTTAGACGAGGCTCCGCAGGGGCTTTACGACACCATCAAGATGGAGGAGGTGAGGGCTAAAAAGAAGGGCTACAGTTCGTCGGGGAATTGCTTGTCGGTGGACGAAAATGGGTTCGATCCCTTCAGAGCGCAACAGTCCTCCGGTCCAGAGTACACCTAGACATTCCCGGCAGTGAGGAGTTTGATTCTAAGGAAGAGGCAGACAGGTCCTAAACTAGTGATTTCAACTTTTATGTATGTACAATATAAAACACCCAATCAAGAAAATTATGATTGTGTGAGATGATTGCCAAAGCATCTATTTCTTTCTTTCTCTCTTTTTTTCTTTTTCTCTTTGTCTTTCTTTGTCTGTTTCTTTTTTTCATCTCTTCCTGACTTCTTGTTTTATTTCTCTTTCTTTCTTTTTCCTCATACTGTGTCAAAAAAAAGTCTACGTGGCGTTCGTCAACATGAGTTTTTGTGAGAGAACTCGTTGAATTTGTGTGTACTACTGAGTATTGTATTAAAAGAATAAAGACAATAATTAATATGTGGGACCAACTAAACTGTAAGCAGCACATTCTCTCCCTCCTTCAGCACAAAAAAAATAGAATATTATCTTCTAGTTAGTTTTGCACATCGAAAGGCCTCCGTAGATTAACGATTCTGTGAATTATTCTCCAGATGCGTTTTATTTTTCTGTGGATATTTGAAGATAAGTGTGTCATGGTAAACGGGATCTGTACATAATGTGGATATATGCACAATGTAAAATTGTTAACGCGTTTATTTATTTGTGTGTGTGTGTGTGTGTGTGGGTGTGTGTGTGTGCGTGTGCGTGTGTGTGAAGACGATGGAAACAACAATGTCCTGATGAACAAATGTGTTTATTGGGATAAGCTGTGGTTTAATAAATCTTTGTTTGGATCTGTGTTCCAACAGTGGTTTCGTTTTTATTTCATTGTAGCTCAATAAAAAACGGAAGCTTTCCCGTATAGATAGATAGATAGATAGATAGATAGATAGATAGATAGATAGATAGATAGATAGATAGATAGATAGATAGATAGATAGATCTTGCACTTATTTTTAATAGTACAAAAACGCCTGTCTGTCTGTCTGTCTGTCTGTCTGTCTGTCTGTCTGTCTGTCTGTCCAGTGACATGGTAAAGTTTCCCAATACCTTTTTTTTAAAAAAAATCATAGTAGAACAGAGAGGCAGTATGCTATGGTTGCGCAACAGTTTCAGGAACTAAAATGCCGGAAACGCACAGAGACCAGTTTATAAATACGAAAGAAATATGCAAATAGACTTCGGACACCTGCAACAAACTAGTTTGCTGTCCACAATAACCGGCTCTTCTTGTTTAAAGGTAACTGCAAAGCGTATTAATTCCCGGACAGGCACCACGCTCCCTGACCACCAGTGGGGCCATGACAGGGAGCCCAGAAACTGGACTCTTAATATGCATCCAATTTATTATCGGATGCGGATGAGGGTGGAGGGAGGAGGTGGAGGGGAGGTGGAGGAGAGGGGAGGGGGACGAGCTGTCGGATAATATGTTACGAACTGATTTCGATGGGAGGAGTTTGTTGCCCCAGGGAAAAAGGTGAATACAAACACCTTCTGCATCTTTTCAAGCTGCGCTTTCATGTGGAGCCGCAGCATCGCGGCGAATTCAGCGATGGGTTTTTTTGTTTTTCGTTTTTTGTTTTTTTTTTCCTCCCTGCAACTCGCAACATGAGAGTTGAATGGCGTCTGGGCCACAATGTGAAACTTTAGCGCTTTCCTCGGACTCCCCGAGTGCTGCAGAAACAAGGTAAGACGTTTTTTTTTTTTTTTCCCCTACCACTCCTAAAATTTGATTGATTTGAATTTAATTTTATTGTGTACGTATAACATTACCTTGTCTAACAATATTTATTGACCTGTAATTGCGTGTACATGCGTCCGCTTAAAAACATTCAGAACTTTGAAAAATATTTAGACCGACTTTTGGTATTTGTTCGTTTGTTGAAAAGTCTAAAGTTTTTCCCGTTTTTAACATGTAACATAATTGACACAATCTTCTTTTTCAAATTTTGTGATGTTACTAAGTTATACACTTCTTTTCGGACATTGTTCAAACTTTAAACTGCTTATAAGATGTTATTTTCTATCTCAACTATTATTGTGAAGTGGCAGTTCGGATAATGATTCATCTTTTATTAAGTGGTCTAATACAATCTTTTCAACTATATTTTAATTGTATTTTCTATATTTATATTCCATTACTTTTGTGTGATTGGGTTAAAATAACTTTCTTTGTAAAGTGCCTTGAGTTGACATGCGCTATGAACTGAAGTTATGCAAATGAATTAAATTAAATTATGCTTGTGCTTTTAAAAACATCATCATTTCAACTTGTTAAGAACTCCAAAAACATTCTGACTTACTTTAGAAATTGTTTCGTGAATTAAAAAAATATATATATATATCGTTTTTTTTTTTCACTCGGTGAAATAAATCGACGTGTGTCTTTATAAACTTTTTTGTTTGTTGAAAATTTAATGGGCTATTTTAAGGAACTGATTTGGTCACTTAAAGAGTTTGACATTTTAGGTAAACTGACTACTTTTTGAGATTATTACATTTTTAAAAACTTAAGTATGTCCCACAATTTTGCAAAAACACAAGGTTTTGCTGTAAAACGGGTATTCCAGTGCAATCAACCAATGTAAAAAAAAAAAAAATATACAACGTTTGTATCAAGTTGACTTTAATTACATTGACAATTATCTTCAATTTAATTAATAAAGTAAAACTGGGGCGTTCATCTTTTACATTAGATAATAGACTCCATTTGTTGACTCAATGTGTCAGTCTCTTCAGGAATGAATGATGAGCGTTAGTGTTTAAGCTGAATGCCTCGTTGCGGCGCTGAGCGGTGGGACGCAGCTGGAATCCAAGGACGTGAAGCAAATTGCATTTAAGCTGCAAAACGATGAGGAATGGAAGCACGTCGAGTCATTTCCAAGCAGCATTGATGCATTTCTCAAAGGGGCATACTTTTATTTATTCCCTGTCTTTCTTTCTTATTTCCCCTCCCTGTCCTTTTTTAAATGTTGCCCCATGTTTCAAAGCAGGGACGGTCCTGAGAGGTCTTTTTTCACCTGACCGGACTGAACTGCAACAATGTCAGCACTACAGAAACAAGCGACAAGAGGCCAAGAAGTATGAAATGTTATTTCTTTTTTTTGTTGTTGTTTGTTTGTTTGTCTTCTTAAATTTTGGGCAAAGAACTTTGTTCTTCTAGAGTCAAAATGGGGGGTGGGGGGATTGCCGCTGCTGAATTCAGAACCGCGGAGAGCGCACAGATCAGAAACCCCATTTGACCACTAGGGGCGTACGTTTCAGATAATCACTTGAAAACTGCCGTTATTTCATATTATCCCGCCACAATCACGAGTTAGTTTGTTTGCTGAATAACAGAATCACTATCGCCATTTTATAGTTTCCATAACAACCACTTTTGTAAATATTTCTTCTAATCCACTGTGGAGCCTCATTTCACTACAGCCTCCAACTTATCAATATTTACCACTTGGCTTATAAACAGTGTGCATATCAACATCAGACAGAAAACATAATCACTTTGCATTTTCTAGCAAAACCCATGAGGTGGTGGAATTTATTCTAAGATAAGCCTGGGAGCCAATGGGATTAAATGTTAACTCAGACACTAATGAAACTAGATTCATTCAAAGCATCTTTATCTAAAGAAAAAAATACCCTAAACTTGTGGAAATACATACAGGTGTAGTGTAGGTGTCATTGGTGACATTCGTGGCATGGATGTGCTTTTAATGATGGACTTCATACATGATTTTTTTTTTTCATGTTTCAAGAGTTTGAATTAATTTTTGACTTTTTCCCCCCCCCCAAAACTCCACAATCCAACAAAATTTACTTTGAAAGTCAAGTCGGTTGGGTTTGGTTGATCCCACCAAACACGACTAACTAACTACATGTAGACATTAATCTGGTCTTTGTGCCGTTTCACCTTTAACTTTCCAACCAAATTCTGTGTTATTTAGATGTAAAATTAACCCTTTAAAGGGAACAGTCAAGCCATTCATAAACTGGAATGTACTAGAACACCAGTATCATGGTCCACAGTGAATTCAATTTTACATCATACATTCTTCAAAACTAACAAATTAACTCTACCGATTTAGCTTGTTGGTGGTTGTCATTGGACATTTAGCCAAATATTATTCAGGATGCATGCACATTTGAGCCTCTATATACGATTTTGTCCATTTTTAGGTGAAAGAAATTCTATAAGACCTGACTGCACACTGAAAAAAGAACAGTTTGAATCATCGTCAAAAGCCAAGAATGAGTTTTACGATGAGTTTGTGGAGACTTCTACCCAATACTGTTTTTGTTTTGACTTCAGGTCTTGCCGAAGGTCCCTGTGCCCCCACTCAAACAAACCCTCGACACCTACCTGAAATGCGTCCAGCATCTTGTGAAAGAAGAGCAGTTTAAGAAGACCAAGGCCATCGTGGAGAAGTTTGGGGCTCCTGGAGGTGTCGGGGAGATCCTTCAGAAGAAACTTTTGGAGCAGAAGGACAAAAAAGCCAACTGGGTAAAGTTGTTTTAAAATGTCTTTTCCACTACTATAAATGTTGAGTTGAGAGTTTTTCTTGCACCAATAAAGCTTCTTGCGCCTGTTTTTTTTTTTCATGAATATGTGTATGTGTTCCTCCTTTGTGTATATAACAATATTTCATAAGTTCAGTCCCTAAAAAGGATTTATAGAGCATTCCCTTGTCTTTTGCCACCTCATTTTTCCCTTATGTGTCTGGGTAAGTGGTCCAGCTCAGTGAAGTCCATCACACTCCCACTCCTCTTTTCACCTGGTGGATGATACACGGCATTGTTTTTCTCTACTCCATTGCCCATTGCTCCTATATCTGAAAGCAATAGAGCTTTAAATAAAGAGCAATATTTCTTACAAAGTGTCCCTGTGCTTCCATTCAGGTCTATGACTACTGGCTGGAAGACATGTACCTAAGCAATAGGTTGGCCCTGCCTGTTAACTCCAATCCCGCCATGGTGTTTCCAAAACAGGCTTTCAGAGATCACAAAGATGCTCTCAGGTATATGCTGCTTGTTTTGTTTTTTTTTTTCTAAGTCATATATTTTATTTCAGTTTGTTTGTAGCCAGGATGAAGGACTGTGAATGCATTTTTTCTACCACAAAGCATAGTAAGTGGAAGCATCTCTGTCTTGAGGGTGTTTTTTATTTTATTTTTATTTTTTTTCAAAATTAATAAAACTAAATAGAGAGCAGCCTTGGAATAAAGCATGTTTGAGGCTGCAAAAGACTTGAGACTGGGGCAGGAGTTCATTTTCCAGCACGACAAATGCTCTAAGCACACAGACACAGCTACAATAGGAGGATTACATTAAAGCGTGCTCATTTGCTGAAATGACCCAGTCAAAGTCCAGACCCAAAACCAATTGACAATCTGTGGCCAGACTTGAAAATCGATGTTCACAGCTGCCCTCCATCCAATATGATTGTCTTAGACATCTTTAAATGATTGAGGTCCTATTAAGCTCAGATGTATACTGAGCACATGCCACACATTAGAAACATTTTGGAAAAATTAAAAAATAATAACTATGTAGGTTTTGAAATAATCTTTGCTTGAAGTTTATTTACGTTTTTCATTCACAAAGATCATCTATTTTTGTTGTCGACACCCACTGCTGTTTTGACAAAGCGTAAATAATCAGAGAGCAAAGCAATAGGAAGGAATATGCAGTGAAGCAGCTTGTAGCATCAGTAATACAGGCAGCATCAATCCTGTCAGTTGCAGCCTGTTGTGAGGGATTATCATAATGTTCCTAAATTCCACATTTATTACAAACAGCATAAAACATACATGTTGAGTTTTGTCAGCTGTTGACAAGGTTTGTGTTCATTTCAACAGACAGAGATGCTGAATTACAGTCATGCTCATTTATTAAGTGAACCCTGCTCCACCAGGCATGAGGTCTGCTCCGTCCATCTCTGCAACCCGACATCAGCTTTTGTCAGCTCATGATCCACAAGCTGAATGTTTCCAGAACACACACACACACACACAAAAAGCAGCTGGTTACCTACTGACGCGGCCACTTATTAGATCGGGAGTGACAGGGCCAAGCTCTCCGCAGAGACCGCCGCTCAGGCCTCATTCAGAGGGTTTGGTGTGCTGCAACTGTCTCCTCTGTATCGATTTGGCTTTGAACGTAATAACACTGAGACAAATGACATACAACATAAGACCTGACAAGTTTGCCTGCTCACACACACACACACACACAAATAAATGCATGCACTGTATCCTAGTAATTTACCATGATTTGATTACGGTTAGCCTTTTGAGAGATGGGAGGTTATTGAATTATACTCACCAACCAATCCTCTTTGTGGCTTCAGTGTTTTACACCGAACATTCGTTGTGTTTTGAAAATTTTACCTATTTCTGCTCCCCTAAGATTTGCTGCTCGTCTCATCTGTGGGGTGTTGGAGTATAAGGCTCTCATTGACGCGTAAGTCCAGTAACTGATCAACTACCACATTGTAGATGCTTCTGATCAATCCTGAAAACCCCTCAACAGTCTGACTCAAATGTCTGTAATGGTGTGTCTTAGGAGAAAGCTGCCTCTGGATTTTGCTCGAGGCCAGTTAGCAGGGACTCCTCTGTGCATGGAGCAGTATTACCGCCTCTTCACCTCCTACCGCTACCCGGGGCTGAAGACGGATACGCTGAAGACCGACTTGAACGCTACCTCCTCGGCGCCAGAACACGTGATCGTGGCATGCAAAAACCAGGTCAGTTAAATGGCTGCTAATGGGTTTTTTTACACCACATCACACTTCTAACTGAACATAATGTTGCATTGTCAATACAATTGATGTAAATAGTGTGCACAGTGCTGTTGAAATGCATATTTTTTTGCGATTTGGAGTGCCAGCAGCTGTAAAATAATACATTTCACATGATTTTGATTTAATTTCAACATTAAGTCTTCTTTGGTTTACACCAAAATCAAGATCTTACTACCATCAATGGCATCCCTTACCTTAGACATCCTTCTGGATGGCCCTGACTCCAGGGTCAATTTAAATGTGGGCCATGCATGCACCAAAATGGATGGATCTTCCATTGCAGATGTGGCACAAGAGCTGTGGTCAGAGGTCAATATGCCGGTTGAAGCTGCAACCAGAGGTTGTAAAAGTAGACCAACAGTGATGGACACCATCATGCTCAACAAGGTGGCCTTTAGGACCTGGTCGACTCCTAAAGCAGCTGCCAAACCAGACAGATGGAAGGTGCTGTGGTGAAGAATCATGTCTGGTAGAATGAAGTCCTGGCGACAAGCTTGTATTAGATCTGCTGGTCAAAGGAGTCAGTTAGGGCATCTGATGAAGATGCCTCCAAGGATGTTCACTGAAAGGTTTTCTGAGTATGTACCACAGAGGAGGAAGTCTTAGTTCAGACCAAGACCACAATGTACAAGGTACATTCAAGGAGATCTGGCAAGGAATGGATGTTTTCGTCATGAGAAAACAGTCTCTTGTACTCTCCGTACACTTGTAGGGGGCCGGATTGATCCTCAAGAGTCATCCTCACAATCTGATCAATTTGGGGAACATTTGCAAGATAGAGTTAGTAAATAATGACAAATAAAGAACACGTGATGCTGCAATTTAATCTAAATATGCTCTCATGTTTTTTGATCATATTTCAGTGCAACTGTTAACTCCAAACTTAAGAATTGCTTTTTGTACATTTTACTGCTGAATTATGTAAATTAGTATGGAATGTAATCATTTACTTTTTGCTAAAGCTTCAGTGCAACAGATTTGACAACATCCTGACCACCAGATATATTATGTCATCAGTATGACTCCAACAATCCAACAGCAATATAACTTCTATTTGACCTGGTAGCTTCATCTGTAATTTTAATATTGTCTGGGAGAAGACATTGAAACTCCAGTGTGGTGAGCTACACGTGGCTCAATGTCAAATTTTGAGGTTTAACAAACACAGACGCTTTCAGGAAACTGTGGTTTTGTTATCTGATGTTACAGTGTCCATTTGAATAGATTTTTCTGATTACGTGGATGAGGAAAACCAAAGCTTTAACAGAACAGTGGCAGCTAAGAGGGGGAAAAAAAACCCCACTGATTTACATGTTTTAAGACATGAAACGTGCAAGAGCAACATCAGCAATTCTTGTGCGTATTTATAGCAGCCTAACAGATTGATATCTCTCCTCTAACTGCAGAATCTGAACTCTGCTCCAGCAGAGGCTGAAAGTATTGCAGTAAAAATATAACTAGAAACACTATTTGTGACTTTAAATGTCTTTAATGAGAGATTTTGTGGTTTAAGACTTAACTGTTCCCAAAACAGCTTCCCTCATACCTTGTGTGTGCCCAGTGCCGTCTCGTTTCCCCCAAAGCACAACAATCCCGAGCAATTCTCATCATTCACACAAACGCATGCAAGCCAGCGACGCCAGCATCTGGAGGAGCTCTCACCTGGAAACGGCTCTGGGAGCATTCAGCAGTCTGTTGAATATAAAGGTCTGTCTCTGTGGAAACAGGAAGGAGTTAGCTTCATTACTGCTGATTAAATCTGCCACTTTGCTTTAGCTCTTCTTCCAGTAGCATTATTTTTAATGAATGGCAGCAGAGGAGCTTGATGCTAACAACTGGGCGTCTTTAGTTTCTGCCATAACTGTCAGTGCCACAGGTAAAAACACTTATTTGCCAGGCAGCCATTTTAACAAATTACAACAAAGCCTTGGCAAGATGTTCACATGCATTTGCTTTCCTCCTGAGTCCGTATTTCACACAATCACATTTTGCCGCAGTTGCAGTTGGAAATAGCTTAGTCTCAGTCAGATTGGACTAATAGGATCCCTTAATGGCATTTCCAGAGACCCTCCCAACATGACGCAAAGAACAACAACAAAAAGCAAATAAGAAAAGCTTAAAATGAGCTTTAAAATACAAGTGAAAGGGAGCCAGGTTATGGGGTGATGTGCTCCCTGCTAGAGGCTGAGCAGCAGCATTCTGGACTAACTGCAGACATTTGAGTTCGGACTGGCTGACTCCAAGGTAAAGAGAGTTACAGTAATCAAGCCAGGATGCAATGAAGGGATGAATTACTTTTTCAAAATGTTGTTTCAAAGGAATTTGCTGTACCTTTGCCAGCTGTCTAAGGTAGTAAGGACAGGATTGCAGGATTGGATTTATGGTTTTCTTTTATTAAATGAAACCATTTAAATATGCATTTAGGGTTTCTTTGCTGGTATTGAAATTTGCTTCATGATTTGATGATGAGTCAAAACAGTAAAAAAAATAAAAAAATAGGGGAGTAAGTACTTTTCCACAGCTCGCATTTTGTAAGTCTGAAAGTTCAATTTTGGTCTCATCCAACCAGAGTTCCTCGTTTTGCATGTTTTCAGTTTCCACTATGTGATTTTGGCAAACAGCTAAAAATAATTAAAGTTTCTCAACAGTAGCTTTCTTCTCATGCCTTTTCCACATAGGACTGACTGATGGTGTGGATGACTGATAGTTGTCCTGCAGAATTTTACATTGGGGCTATTTGTTGATCTTCCACAGATTATTATTATTATCTCATTGCTTCTCTCATTGACGCTCCTGTCAGTTTAAATCTATTGAGTTGTCATGCTCTTTCCATTTCGAAACCTAACTCTTTAAGGTATCCAAAGCTTTGGATGTGCTTTTGCTGCTTAACCCTTGAGCTGCCTGCTGTGCTCCTTGGCCCTCAGGATCCTGTTTGTTCATCAATGTCATCTAACAAACCTCTGAGACCTTCACAGTACTTTAGACTGAGATGAAATTACGCTTTGATTGCTAATTATGAAATCTATTTTTCCTCATTAGTTTTTCCTCTTGGATGTAGTCGCAAACAACAAACAGCTCAACGAGGCGGAGATCTTCCTCCAGCTGGAGAAGATCATGAAAATGTCAGAAAATGCTGAAGAGAGACTCCCTCCTTTTGGGATCCTGACCTCAGATGGAAGGACTGAATGGGCACAAGCTAGGGAAGCACTAATAAAAGGTCACCCAGCACCTCCTCCGCCTTCCTCATTACTTTCTTGGGTTTGTAATAACCTGTCAGATATGTAAACTCCCCTCCTCCCTTCCTGTGTCCAGATCAAGCTAACCGTGACTCTCTGGCTCTGATTGAGAGCTGCATATGCGTGGTGTGTTTGGACGAGCCCTGCGGCATTCCGCCCAGCGACACCAACAGGGCGCTGATGCTGCTGCACGGTGGCGGCCGGGAACGGAATGGCGCAAACCGCTGGTATGACAAATCAATGCAGGTGAGGCTTTAACACGGTCACGTCACTTTGTCTTCAACCTTATAATCTGGGCAACTATTTACTCCGCCTTCTCTCAGTTTGTTGTAGGAACGGATGGGGTGTGTGGGGTGGTGTGTGAGCATTCCCCGTTTGAGGGAATAGTCATGGTGCAGTGCTCAGAGTTCCTTATGAAACGCATGTAAGTCAGCACCCTACATCGACTTGCCATGCCAGTCAATGCATCTGACCCAGGCAGGGTGTTATTGTTGTGATCAGAACAGGGAGTCCCTCCAGGACGGTTCAGCCGTCCAGCACCAAAGCACTACCCCCTCCAAGGAGGCTGCTGTGGAAATGCAACTCCCACGTTCAGGCTCTCCTAGAAGCATCTGGAGACAGACTGCAGAGGCAAGAACACCGTGCACTAAAGTTTCCAAATCTAAATTTACTAATTCAGTGCCTTGTCAAGGTATTTTTGTCTCTGGAAGTTCTGAATTTGTTGTCATGTTACGACAAATTACTTTAAACTTGATATAAATTTGAGGTAATAGACCAACACGAATAGTGTGTCATTGTGAAGTGGAAGGAAAATTAAACTGTTTTTTTAGTTTTTCAAATTATGCACAAATAAAAAACTGAAGGTGTGCATCGGTTGTATTGTCTTTGATTTGTACTCCACCATTCACTGTAATTATAGCAGCGAGTCTTTTAGGGTTTCCCTGAATTTTTGTATATACCTCTTTCCAAACCAGCTCAAGCTAAGTCAAAGTGGAGGCAGAGCATCTGCAAACATCCATTCATCCAACATCTATGCCCGCTTGTTCCATGCAGGGTCGCGGGGGAGGTGGTGCCCATCTCCAGAGGTCACTGGGTGAGAAGCGGGGTACACCCTGGACAGGCTGTGAGTCCATCACAGGGCAACACAGAGACACACAAGGACAAACAACCACGCACGCACACTAAGAGCAGTTTAGGAGGCCAATCAACACGCTTGCTTTTGGACTGTGGGAGAAAACCTGCAGGAAACCCATGCATGCAGGGGTAAAACATGCAAACTTCATGCAGAAAACATCTCAGACCGGGTTTCAAAACCAGGACCTTGTTTCCACAAAGAAGTGCAACAAACTGCATTAACATCCAGAACCTCCGTGGACAGTAGTTTTCAAATTTTGTCACAAATTCTCAGTTGGACTGTGAATTTTTGCTTTTTGAAACCATTTGCATTAGAGGCATTTTAGCTCTCTCTATGCAAGTCTTTAATAGGCTCCCTTCAAAGATTTCCCAATATTCAGTTTAATCTTTCTTCTCATTAACTTTTCTGTTGAAAAGGCTGAATAAAAGCCTCACACCGCCATTACCATGTTTCATAATGGGAATGGTGTGTTTGTCTCATCTATCCAGCGCACCTTTTTTCACGAGTTTGTTATGTTTCCTACACGGCTTTTCCAAAAATGTTGAAAGCTGCAAATGTTTTTTCCTTCCACTTTGCATGTGCCTCTTAATGTTGGTCTATCACATAAAATCCCAATGAAAACATGTAATTTAGAGAGTATAATGTGACGAAATGTGTAAGAGTTTTAGGGAGATGAATACTTTTCGAGGCACTGCGATTACAGATATTCCTGTTTCACATTCTGTTTCATACTCTTTCATGTTTCACTTCAGGCTGGTGAACAATCTTGACATGGATGTTTTCACATTTGAAACTTACGGAAAAGAATTTATCAAAAAACAGAAGATGAGCCCAGACGCATTCATACAAATCTCCTTGCAGCTTGCATTTTACAAGTAAAGTATACCACTCACGCAGTACACAGTAAACACCACGTGTAAATATAATCGCTCATTTCAAATCCAAACCGTCAGATGCAGAGGAAGGCTGGTGTCCACGTATGAGAGTGCTTCGCTTCGTCGTTTTCGAGAAGGTCGGGTAGATAACATCCGTTCAGCCACAGCTGAGGCCCTGGCCTTTGTGAGGTCCATGGCCGACGAGAGGGCAACTTTCACAGTGAGTCGTTTGTCTCACTTTCTCCCTGATAATCAACTCCCAGAACAATGGTCACCTGTAAATGAGACAGGTGTGAACGGCCAGTTAGAGGCATGCCAAACCAAGTAACTCCAGTCAAACAGATGATCTCCCTGCAGATTTATCCAACGCATGATGCATAGTATCCTGCACCGCTTGATGTGTTTTACGTTGCTTGAAGAATATATCTTGTGTTTATCTTTGCAAGGACTCTGAAAAAATGAAACGACTGAAGGATGCAGTAAAGGCCCAGACAGACTACACAATCGCAGTGAGTATTGTGTCTGTTGGAAAGGTTGGGGTCAAGTGTAAAAACATATTCTGATCATTTTTCACCAGATCATTTTGTAAAATCTTTTTTCAAACTTGTTTTCTGTTACACTTTTGGTCAGTAGTAAAGTAAGGTAGTAAAGTAGGCTTAAAGATGCATAATAACAAACCTCAATCTAAAGGAATACCACAACAGAAAATAAATGACATTATTGACCTCAATCAGTCTGGAAAGGGTTTCAATCACATTTCTAAGGCTTTGGGACACTAATGAACTACTCCAAGATCAATTATCCATTAAAAAAAGGCCCATTTTTCATTCGTTAAGTAAATATCTTGAATGTTCCAAACACATCTGGGGAATATTCTTTGGCTGATGAGCAAAAAGGGAAACATTTTTGGAAGATTTGTATCCAATTCACTGAGCTGAAAGGCGAAACTTTCAATTCCAAAGAGAACGCACCATCATCACTTTGTGATGTTCTGGAGTAGCCTAGTCAAAATCTATGTTTAAAAACAATGGAGAAGCTTCGACCAGATTTTAATGCCTAAAAATATGTCCAAATTAAAACAAATCTGGATCAAAATTTCTCCAAAGCAACGTCTTTGATCACAAATGTTTTGGTGGCTGTTTCATAGAACTTGACCAGTATGAAACTTGGGCTGAGCCTCTTAGCATTTTGGTTTTCTAATTGTATTGATTTTTTTTACTCAGGCAATTACAGGAATGGCAATAGACAATCACCTCCTTGGACTTCTGAAGGTCTCAAAGCAGCTGAACATGGAGAAGCCAGAGATCTTCTGTGACGAGACATATCTGGCCAGTAACCATTTCACCCTCTCTACCAGTCAGGTGCAATTATCTACTATTTATTTTCTAAAAAATAAAAAAAACCTCAAGTTTTTAAAAGTACTTGAGGATTTTTAAAAACTTAAATGAATTTGTAATATCACCTTTGGTTCAGTGAAGATGCTCTTAGTGTATTCGGAAAGAGAACTTTTAAAAAGCGTGATTGCAAAATCTTGTACGAAACAATAAAATATGTGCAACACTATATAAGAACCAATTAAGATATTTAGTTCATCCAGTTGCACAGACTCATGCCGATGGCTCGGTGTTTGTTGCAAGCGGTCTTATTAATTTTAGACTCCAGTAAAATGAGCTGCCTCAGCAAAACGTTTGGTTTTCCAGACCTCTCTTTTTCCACCATTGGACACTTTCTTGGCAGCACTTAGCGCCCACACTTTAAATAATTAGTTTTTCTTACACAATGCTTTAAACGAGCGCATGCATCAGGTTGATGAAAGGAGCTTTAATGATAAGCTTCCACAGAACCTGGCAGTTATAGTGCTTGGCTAAGAGGTAATTATATTAACTTTGAGCATCGGGGAAATATTTTCAGCCGCAAACAAAAAGAAAAACTAACTGGTCACAAATCCAGTAGAGCTGAAATATAACAGAACTTGTTAGCACAGATAAAAACATACACTTATATAGAAAAGAGGATATTTTATTAATCAAAAGAGACATGTCAGGTAAAAACAGAGAAGATCTAGTTGTGTCCTGTCCTGGGTTAAAAGAAAACTTTATTCTAACGTCACTTGACTGTGAAAAAATAATGACAACTTTTTTATATACTGGAAAAAAAAAACATTAAAATGTCCAACCCACTCAAAAATCCCTGGACTGTATGTGTTTATCTCCAGGTTCCTACAACAGTGGAGATGTTCTGCTGCTATGGACCTGTGGTGCCCAACGGCTACGGCGCCTGCTACAACCCGCAGCCGCATCACATTGTCTTCAGCGTGGCGAGTTTCTGGGAGAACACGGAGACGAGCTCAGCCGTTTTCGTCAAAGCCCTAAACGAGGGCCTGTTGGAAATCTGGGATCTGTGCAACAGGAGTGCAGCTGCAGCTACCAAACCACCGGAAAGCAGCCCTGCAGCTGGCCCGCCTCGTAAATCAGGAAAGTAAACTATATAGATAGAACCTCCCCTATACTCACCTAGTCGGATCTTAGAGTTAGCTTCAGTTAGCTTAATAGTTCAAGAAAAATGAAAAGCCTTATAAATGAATATTTAACTACATAAAAAATATATATGTACATCTTTAGAAAATATATAGAAAAGAAAAACGAGTAGGTAAATTTCCTTTCTGGATGCGTAAGAATGATGTGGGGTTCAAAACTGACTCTGGTGGACTGAAGTAAGTCGGTCTGCTGCACTTAAGGAACTTGAAGCCATGTCTGTTTGTAGCACCAGTCTGAGGATTCAGTCCTCAGTCTAAGAGTTATTTAAAAGATCCTTCCTGTGAATATTACATCTAACTTACACTACATGAAGTATTAACCTATAAAACAGGACAGCGACTGAAAAAAATCTGAATAGAGTATAGTATAATTTATTAATGCCATCTGGTATTTGTGAATGAGCTTTGCCATTTGAGCTACACTGTGACTTTAAATGTTCAAATATACGATGTATCAATATGTGTAATTTATTATTTTTTTAATCATAAGGTTTCCAAAGAGATGTTGTATATGTGAAGTATGTCTTTTAAAGCACTTTAACACACACACACACACACACACACACACACACACACACACACACACACACACACACACACACACACTCGTAGACATATGTAGTTGAAACCAGATATATACATACACTACAGGTGATGCTTTCAAGCATTTTTTAAAATTTAATTATGATGATGTTCTGCGTCCAGCTGACTTAAAACCTCACATTTAAGATTCGAACATTTCCTCATGTTTTCGAATAGAAGAAAACATTTTTTACAACAGAAATTGGGGCTTCATGAAAATGATGAACAGCACCTGCTTGAAGGTTGTTATCTTGAAAAGGTTCTTTAAATCTGACAAACGAGCCTAATTGGAATTCATATTCTAAGTCAACAATTAAGATTTCACAAAGACACACAACAAATACAAGATGACAACTTATTTGTTCAAATTCCAGTGTAGTAATTGCAAATTTCTAGACATGTTATGTATTACAGCAATAGTGGCAATGATATGTGGATATGTGTTACGAGTCATCAGTGCTGCTTTATTATCAAGTTATAAACAAGTATGTATGCTTACCATATGTATATATTTAGAATTTGTCCTTTCATTTGCATTTAAAGCAGATGCAATACATGAAATAGATAAAACCAGTTATGTACTGCATATCTTAAGCAATCTGTGCAATAATATACGAAGTGCAGTGAAGGTTTTGTGCAATCTGACGGATGAGCTCATTATGTGCATGGAGCTTCTTCATTGATAAATCAATAAGAGTTGCTATTTTTATATTCAGAAATAAAAGAAACAAATACTACATGAAGTTATGAGACTAAAAACGTTTATTCGTCAGAAAAAGTCCCTGCAAGTACGTGTTGTGGGTCTTATTTATTTTGTGAACTCTAAGTGGCAATCAGTGTTAAAGGTGCCAAGATAATTACTGTCTTGTTGTGTATCCACAAACCAAAGTGAATGTATTGTGATTTTAAAGCTGAGATAAGTATTATACCTGAGATGTGTGTGTTTAATCCTCTATAAAGCTACAACAATTTCGATTAAATACTAATAAAATCTCATAAGTGCAAATTCAGAATGCCTTCAAATGATGTAAAAGTATTGCTGTCATTTGTCTGAAGAAAACACCTATTAATGTGGGAACAACATGGTTAAGATGTATTTGTCACAAATTGTTTTTTTTTTCTTGTATGTATCACCCAATAATGTATTTATTGATAATTATAGGACAAATCTGTATAAATGTGGCTTCTGCTGCAGAAGTCCTCACATCACTTGAATTTTTTTCTCATCTTGACATTTTGTTGGGACTTCGTGTGATGGGTCAACACAAAGTGGTACAAAACTGTGACGTGAAAGTAAAACCATAAAGTGTTTTGTTTTTCTTGAAAAATAAAAACCTAAAGAAAGCGTGGTAAACATATTAATTCAGATCGCTTTACTGTGAAACCATTAAATAAAATCTAGTGCAGCCAGTTGTCTTCAGAAGTGGTTTATTTATTGAACAAAATCCATCTGTGTAATTTAATTCCATTAGGAAACTGCTGTGTGAAAACCTCAGTTGAAAACTAACACTGCACATCACCATGAAAACATCATCGCAGCACCGACACGTGGCGGTGGAGCCGTCGTTCTAGTATTTTGTCCAGGTGTAGTGATGACAAATGGCTGCTGAAAAACTGCAGAAATCATGAAATTTAAAAAGCTGTAATTTACGAACTTCCTCAACATTAGTGTTAGCTCTACTGAGAGCTGACACCCACAAAAATAACATTATATAATCAGATTATCCATTTATAAACCTGCTGTGATAAGATGTCTGTCTACAACAAGCAAGATACTGACAACAGATCGTTGCTCTACTGAACCTCACTTAGTAGAGGCTGAGCTCTATATTTTAATGTATAATTTCATGTTTCACTTCAACATAAATTCTCCTAATTTATTAAACCAAATAAACCAAGTTAATTAATTATTTGCTTTATAATTTAATTGGTTTATTTTTAAAATTTTTTTAGTCTAATTTTTTTTCATCAGCATCTTTTCAGCCCTCTAATTGCACAGTTGTTGCTCATTTCCTCACGAGGTAGATACCGCCATCTGCTCAGTGCCTGCACAAGACCAATCATAATTTCAAAAAGAGAAAAATAGATTTTGTTTCATGGCAGAGATCTAAAAATACAACAGGAAGCTCATTACAAAACGCAAGATACCCTTAACACTTACACCGAAGTATTTAAAATGATAATGCTACACGTAAAGAGCCACGTGCTCAAATAAGGCGCCTTTCCATAAACATGTATGTAAATTTTTATTTTTTGCCATATTTTGAGTTTGTTACCGCATCAGACAGCTGTTTCTGTTGAAAACAGATGCTTCACAGACATTTCAAAGGCGACGTTTTACTAGCTTTTTGGCCTTGATCATTTTCAGGACATGATTAGATTCCAGCATATGGCAACAGTCATTAAGTGAGGAGGAAAAGTAAAGAAAACAAGTCTGAAAACATTTTATTTTCAAAACTCACAACACAGCAGGGGCTTAATGCTAGTGAAGACTTCATTTATTTGATAAGAGATACTGTTGTCTTCTTTTTTAAACTCTGCAAAGCAAGTACTTTTACTTGCAAAGCACATGCTTCCATAGCAACAATGTGGTGGTTTATTATTGTGTTGACAACAAACTAGGATTGTTGGCGGAGCCTTGGCAGAGCAACAACTTTACATGCATAGGAGTTGTTGCATGCCACTCTGGTTGGGTCATTGGAAGTGAAGCAGAACCGGCCATGCTGGTTTCATCACAAGGTCGCATGAGAACTTCATGCTTAATAAGAAAACTCCTTTTGGCTTTTTTATACAATATTAATTGGATTTCGTCTACAGTATCCCTCCCAGTTACTGAAGACTCATAATTCTCCTTGTAAATAGAAGCTTTTTTTATTATTATTATTATTATTATTATTATGCTCAGCATCTTGTTTCTACAATGATCAATAATGAGTTGGTGTATTTAAATCAGCATAAAAATAAATAAATAAATAAATAAATAAATAAATAAATAAATAAATAAATAGATAGATAGAGCTTTCTATTTGTTGTTTTTTAGAGTAATTTACAATTTGGGGTTGACCTACAAATGCTTTGACTTCTGCTTTTTTATCAGATTAGAGATTATCTTGTCACTTAAGCCATTATCCCACCTCACATGCAATGATTTTGGTTGTCTCAGTGCAGATACTGAAAAGACTTTGTAGTCTTATAGTTTCTTTGTATTGGGTAATTGTAAACCATACAAACAAAGCCTATTGTTCATCCTGGGCATCTGAGCTGTCCTGCATCCCCAGTTTCCTTGATGAGTGTTGCTGGAAGGACCATAAAGAGGCAGAGGCGTCATCCTTCAGCTCTGTCCACTATTACATATGAACTAACCTGACAGGCTTATTTACACCAGGACACATGCAGCCTTGATAAGACCATCGCTCCTCTGCCAAACGCTTGTGGCTCACAAACAGATCCCACACACACAAAAAACTAAATTACTTATAGTTAAAGTCAACAGTGACGGTTGGCAATCCCTGTATCAGTTCACTATTCATTTTGTTTAGATACTCTTGTTTTATAGTTAAGTGGTTTAGACACTTTTCCTTTGTTGGTTTTCAATCACCAGGAGCGCCCATAAACATCCGAAGATCCTCCTCCAGAGTGAGATATTGTTGCACCGCTGGTAGCAATAAGAGAAAGATTTAAGATGAGGCCCATCCCCGTGACGGAGACCCAGCAGGAGAGTCTGCTCTGTCGCCAGACGGCGCATCGCTTTCGCAGTTCACTTTTAAAAACACAGAACAATTATCCAGCACTGACTCTGCTCCCTTCATCTCTCTCCACAGCCCCTCTTGTGTTCCCATAAATGCATAGAGAAGAATATGTTTTTTGTTTGTTTTTTTGTTTTTTTTTACCTCTTTTTCAAAAGTGGCAATTCAAAAATGAATACATCTGTGTGGCCCATAAACCTCCTCATGCTTCTAATTACGTCTTAGTGCTTGGATTGTTTTTATATCACAAGGAATTCCTCTGCGATCTATGCGGCCTGATGTGTTTGTTGATCACGGTGAGTAAATCCCCTGAGGGGCTATTTGCGTTTCTGCTTTGTGATTTTTCCCAACTTGCTCCAAGAAAGTTAAAGTTTCGTTATTTCTTAAGCGTCAATGCAATTTTCCTTGGCTTTGCTGGAAAAATAACTTCAATTTATTTTTAAAAAAATGTTTTAACTTGTACTTTAAAAGGTATTCGTGTTATAAATTTTACGTACGATGCTCTGCTGTTTTTAAATAAAACGTATTTTTAAAAAATGTATTATACCACTTATCCTTGCAGGGTAAATTGAAATCTAAATAGAATTTAATTTAACTAAACTAAACTTGAGTTAAACTAAGACGCACTGCACTGAAATAGAATGATTAAAATTAATTTCACTAAAATGTATCTAATTAAAGTGAACGGAAAATAACTACAAGTAAGTTGACATGCTGCTTCATTAAGACTGTATGGCAAACAAGAAAGCCTTTTCTGGCAACAATGCAGATTCAAAAGATCAATTATATTTGTACCCAAAACATGTGCCAGTAACAAATCCTGATGAAAAAGTGTAACATTTCTTTACACAAACTATATCAAATCAGTGGCATATTGGGAAATCTATGGACACCCTCACCTGTAGATGTCTTGTCTGTATTATGGTCCTATCATAAGTGGAGATGCTTTCTGTAATATCTAATTATATTATAACGCTGCAGATTAGGTCTGATTTTTCAACAGGACCAGAAGCTAAAAAGCCCATCAGCATCAGCCTTTTCTTCTCCTCCGTTATCCCGAGAGCGAACTAACACACCTCTACTGTCCCATCTGCCCAGACAGCATTTGTTCATCCTTAATGGGCCGCTGTAATTGGCAGGAATCAGGA